AGTTCAAAAAGCCTCCACATCCGGAAAAGCGGTAGGATCTGACGAAATATTCCGCAAATGTTTCATAAGCCTAGATTTTAGAGCTAAGAAATGGTTGACTGATATGTTGAGAGCAACAGCCACGAATCTGAAAAAGTTTATAAGAAAAGGAAAGAAACAAACCAAGGTCATTGGATTCCTGAACCGAGGAGGATTTTCCTAAAAGTTATTTGGAACGGTTTATAGTCCAAAGAAGGAAGTTCACCACTTAATTCTTACTTCCCGCAGAAGACCTGATTTTAAATCTTGCCAAAACGAGCATGAGCAAATGCTGGCTTTAGCCAGCTGCGTCGAAGTCGGTTGCGAAGAATAACCGTAGACGGTGACAATTCTTCTTGAGCGATCCATTACATATGACGGCTGGTACGGAACAAAACCCCTCGTAAAGCGGCAGTTAATCTTCCTATGTCAACGGACAAACCAATACATCAAGGAGATGTTGAACAACCGGAAATGTACCGTTCAACTTTTTAACACGGTCGGCTACAGGGAGAGAGAGAACAACGTCCTTCCATAAAGCACAGTGCTGTCACCAACTTTATTCAACATTTACACTAGCAGTCTTGTGACAAAATCATCTCACAAATTCACCTACACAGATTTCGTGCTACCTTCCCTCAGATAGCACCGAGAAGCTACTTCAGGGTGACATCCTGACACTAGAGAGATATTCTAAAAAAACTGAAGTATGAAACCCAATGAGTCGAATTCAATCATTTTATCACTATCTCCACTTGAATGATTGCGATGTGTTAGCAATGGTGGAATTGAACCGCAGAAATATTCATTCAGCAAACTCAGAGAAGAAACCAGGCTACCAAGGAGTCATCTTAGACAATACGATAAGCCACCGGCAACAGTGAAAAATACGAAAAAGAAAACCAGACCCAGGTTAAACATCATTCAGAAGCAAGCTTGGAACATGGTACGGATATGACGCCAATATGTGGGAGCACCGTAACAACCGTTTTAGCAACCGTAGAATTCTGCGCGCTAGTACAGTGCAGCAACTGCCACGTCTATGTGATGGATACCGAAACCAACGTTGCACTCCGCATTATCAGTGATATCCTCAAAACAGCGCCAAGACACTGGCTGGCAGTTTCTGCCAATATCGCATATCCATGAAACATTGCTGCAGTCCGTGAACAAAAAGATAGGGGGTCGTTCACTCATGAAAAACAAGGTATTGTTCTTGCGAATAAATTGATTCGAGATGATGGATTTAGAATAGGATATTTAAACTGCCCCTAGACATAAAGAGTAAAAGTGCAATGCAACGCCCTGAAATTCAGTTTTGTAGGAATTTTACTGTTCCAGTAGATATGTTATTACGGATTAGGCGGATTCACCGCAGGAAGAACACGACGCAATACAATCATGCAGATGGTGAGGGCAACGAATAACGTTGTTCCCAGAACGTATACGAATACTACGTGCAACTGTTGCCTTGGCAACACTACCTTAAATCATTTAACAAAAGGGTACCAAGCCACTTGAGACAAGTTTCAATGATCTTTGTATGGAATGTTGATGGAGCAGGAAAGAAGCAGAACTCGTGATTGTGACACTTCAAATATGGGAGAGACTGAGTGAGAATATCGCAAAGCATGAATGACAGAAGCGCTACATGGTGCATGCATGCTGCCAAAGCCGAAGAAGCCCTAGCAGATGATAAGCTTGGTTGAAACAAAGTCAAGTAAGTCGCCAACATTGCATTGCTGTCTTGAGTTATTTGCGTATCCGCAAATTTTGAACGTTCCACTTGGCAGTTCAATCATCAATTTGAGCCCTTGATTTTGGAGCACTCCCGACGGTTTGAATACGATAGGCATTCTGATCCGTGCTACATTACACTCGATTCTGCAAATTTCTAAGCTGACATCGCGGACAGTATGGAGTCGCAATTTTGCTAAGCGACTAAAAGCGATTATGACTACGTCAACAAACTTCTGTTCTACATCTCCATGTTATAAGATGCAACCGCCATCTTTTAGGTGGCTGTTGGTATGTCAGTAGTTCTGTTTAAAGTTATCTTTGTTTGCTTCGGTTTCTCCGCTACTTTTTGTCATAAAATTTTGGCATACCTGTCTTTTACATTTGTTAGAAAACAGAATTCGTAGGTGATCCTTACAGTTTCTGGTTTACGCAAGTACTGCCATAGAAAATGACGGTGCGAGTCATTACATTTGGTCATACGGCAATGTTGCATCACTCCCTTCCATCTAGGCGCTTCAGAGGACCATTTAAGCATGTCGCGGTTACATAACAACGCAATCACTGGGCTGGATCGAGCAAAACTCGTCCGCCAACTCCAATGGTGGCTCAAGCAATATATACGCTAGTGGCAAAACTGACACTGCGTTAAAACTCGAAAACGTAATTTGGCATTAAACGTTTTGGTTGACACTAATTACTAAGTGATTTTGTTCAAGATCTTCTTTTTACTCTTTTCAGACTTTAGAAGACAGCGACTCAGTCGGTGAGAAAACGTAAACACGTAAAGAAACACCGCGCCTTTCTAGGCACACATTTCTTTCAGACTATTTGCATTAGACGATGATCCGCGGCATGCCTAGGCAGGACATGCTTAATATGCTGATGCCACGTGCACTCGATAACTTTACTCCTTAAGTACCTAACGTGTTGTGACTGCACTAGGGATCGTCATGTGCCTTCACGGTTCTTGCAACGATCTCAATTAATGGCAGATCGCTAGATTTGTCCATTGCGCAGATCCATTCGTGTGTTTCGTGTGTCATGCGTAGCAGATCGTTTGACGAAAGACAACGACAATAGACAGCCAACCATTTTTTGAGTTATCACAACAAGCGACCGCGAAAGAACTAAACCCTATGGTATTATCACCACATTTAGAATGATCATTACTTAAACGCTGAACTACACCGGCAAAAAGACACGTAGGTTGCTTGTCATGACACTGCACTTCTTCTAACTGGTCATCATAAACCGCGATGATAACGCAACTATGTTGCAGCCCATCTGATATTTAAGGGGAGAACTGGGATGCATTTGATATACTCTCGGTTTGCACGGCAGTTTTATGCACAGGAGCAGACTGAAGTCGGACTTCAATGGGCTGTTTTCATAACGTATACATTACGTGAGCAGTCCGTCAGTCCGTGATGAATTACCGACCCAGATTCGAAAACCTTTTCAAGAAAATTCTTATGTAAACATCAGCCTCAGTGTTAACACTTAAATATCCTAAAGCTGAGCCAAGCTTTACAAAATCGCTATAAAAAAGTTGATCTTGCATCGTACCGTTAATCAGGATACGTACCATCAGCGGACATGAGTCGGTACGCGCTGGCTCCGGTGAGGAAGATTTTGCGTTCGACGACGATTTCGGCACCATAGACATCCGGCTTGAACGCGTCGGAGCCGGCGTTGGCGATCGTGATCGAAATGGTGGCACTCGAACAACCGTTCCTGATGTAGCAACGCAGCGCTTGCCCACGGTTCATCACCGACGCCCTGCCGCCGAGGCCGACCACCATGCCGGCCATGACCGCGCTCTTGCCTGCTGAACAGCATTCTTTAGTTAGCATCGCCGAACTGCATTGCGCCACTCCAAACTCAAAACAGCTACTTACTTCCGTTTCGACCCGTAATAAAATTTACCATTGGGCCAAAGCTGAAATCCAATTTCGGGTGACACAGGAAATTCTTGAGCACCATCCGCTTTAGCGTGCCACAACAAAACGGACAGCTTTCAGGATCACTTCTGCCATCTGTACGTCGTTTCTTGACCTGTATATCGCTCTTTTGCTTCTTTCGCCGCTTGGCGGGCATTTTCTAATCCGCCAGCAGCCGACCAGACTCCTCACCGATCTCAGGATGATGCCCGATTTCACCCGCTTCGTTCAAAAGGCAAAAACAGAACCGCGCGAAATTTGCTTACCGTAACACTTAACACTGACGTTTAGAGTAGTCATTCTTGATCAATGATTTTGTATCCACAATTACTAAACAATACCACATTTGGGGTACAATGGGTATGTCATAACTCGTGTATTTGATAATTTACTGTTTAAAAGTAAAGGTATATTCTTTTTTAAATCGTTAAAATTGTATTTTCCGATGTGTAAAAAATAATGAATTTCCAAACGTACTATGTTAACAACAGTACGTGAATGATTAAAAACCAAACACACCGAGTTTCCGTACGAAAGTGTCTGGAAAGAAAAATGGAAGGAATGTCTGTAGCTGTTGGTATATCAGTTTTCTTTGCACTCATATGATATGGCTAATTTTAGCAGTCTTGTTTTCATCAATTTAATGCTTGGAGTGCTGATCTCAATTACCATGTTATCTGCTAAGAGTGCTTCAATCGACAGCCGGGTTACACGCGCCGTCCATATTCTTCTATTCTGGAAGGAATAAATACAGTTAACATGGCCGCAGTTTAAATCTAGGCCTCTCGAGTAACCCTGATCTGAACAAATCCGTGGCAAACTCTCTGCTCTAGAAAATTCATGGCAGAGCTGAAGTTCCAATTGGAATGCGATATCCTATGCACTAGGTCACACTTGGTATTCTTCTCCGTAATGCTCTTTTGCATCCACACTCTTCAATGTTCAAATTTTCAGGATTCGTTTTAAAACTGTTTCCTCTTGAACGTGAGCGAAAGCAATTTGAGTTGGGCAACGTTGCCATATAACCCGGTGTAACGATATGCATCGTCATTCGTTAGTGCGTGGCGGCGCAGTGACAATGAGGATGATTTTGAACCCAGGGTGGCGGGTTCAAATCTGCTGAAGGGAACACCTTTGTCCCATCCGCAAATTCCCTTGAGCAAGGTCTACACATGCCAGAACTGAAGAGGAGTATGGTTATATTGTCCAATGCGGGTGCCCTTTGCCGCTGCACTTCGCTTTGACCCACCTGATAGCTGACTTTTCATTGTAATAATCAAAACAAAGTGTAATCCTGATTTCGATTTCCACGATAGTGGCAGTATAAGCCAACGGCAATTAGTGAAAACCAAAATTTTAATGGTACAACAATTGTTGATTCTTGTCCTCTTCGTGGTAGCCATGTCTTTCGATTGTTTAATCGAGAAACACCTAAACAGCCTTGTACGAAGAGCTGCTACTGTAATGTATATAAAATTTTATGCTTTCTGCCACGTGTAAACAAATTGAAGTTGCCAAAACTCGCATCACTTCAGAACTGCCACAGCAAGTCATCGTCAGAAACAACAAACATGGAGTGATGGAAAACACATGTCTTGTTGCTTCCTATCCGTCGGTTGTTAGAAGGACGTGTTTCAGTTAAGCATCTGCACTCGAGCCTGCATCGCGATGACGAATCTACAAGAATATAAGAAATATCAAATTCAAATGAAGCACAAAGAATACTGTTTCTTTATTATTAGCCTATCCCGGATAGTTTAAAGAATACCTTCTATAATTCAAGTCAATTCAAACAGGTTGCTACAAATTTAGTGCTCTAACCTTCAACGGGTGTAATATTTTGTAATTAAGTTTTACCATACTCACCTTATTATTCGCTGGTCACTGACTTGCTATAAATTTTTCGGCTGGTTGCGCCGTAGCAACAAGGAGTGAATTTCTTACTCAAGAGATTCGCGGTTAAGACGAAGGTCGTCCCTTCTGATGATTTGACTCCACACATTCAGAGTTCAACGTTCACCCATTAGGCAGACGTCAGAGACAGTATGGTATCCAAATGTGATCATACTAGAATTGACGAAGTGTATTACC